TGAGGCAGGAGGATCATTGCCAGTTTGAGGCCAGCCTGGGCTACAAAGTGAGCTCAAGGCCAGCCTGAACTGCATAGCAAGACCCTGTCTCAAAAAAAAAAAACAACAACAGTGGAAAGGGAGGAAAAGTTTATAGTGTGTATCTATTCATACTACATATAATGCGCTTTTAGCACTGTGTACCTAAAGAACACAGTTACTGGTAACTCAGAATTGTAGAAAGTTCACCTCTTGCTGTGTTTCTCATTCAGGTGAATATACTGAGTAAGATGGTGAACCGAGCGACACCTGGACTACAGAAGTTTTCCAAAACAGCCAGTATGCTCTGGCTTCTTCAGCAGGAGATGGTCACCTGGAGGCTGCTAGTTTCCTTGTATAGGTAAAGTTGTGTAGAACCATAAGTGAAATCAACGTAAGGTAGCAAACAGCTAGGCAAATTGAAAGTTAGAGTAAAATGTATTTGCAAATAGGTGTAGCTATTTTGAGACTTACCATTTCAATGCTTTAATTTACAGAAGTTAGTTACGAGAGAAGATGGGGCCATCAGATCATAAACCTGATAAATGCCGAGAATTAGATACGTATAAAGATTTTGGGAGGGCACTAAAAATAGAGCAGTACATAGGAGGAGTAGACTAAGTGAACTGAAAGGATGACTTTGTGTGATGGAAGCTCGAAAGAAGGTAATCAGACCATCCCTTAGTTGCTCGGTGGTTTTGGTTCTCATTCTGTTGCTTTCTCAGGCTATGAGAAAATACAAAAGCTGGACCCAGTGGCACATGCCTGTAGTCCCAGCACTCAGAATGCTGAGGCAGGAAGATCTTGAGTTAGAGGCCAGAGCATGGGCTATGTAGTGAGTTCAAGGCCAGCCTGGGCCACATAGCAAGACCCTGTCTCAAAATATGAAAAAGGGGAGTGAGAGGAGAGGTGGAGGAGAGAGGGAGAAAAAAGAAAATCATTCTTTAATTGTCACCGTGTGAGAAGGTTAGGACAGCAGTGCCTCAGCAGGTAGCCGCTAGAGACTTTGCCGTGTGTATCTTGGTGGGTGTGCGTGCTGCGCAGGTGCCAGCCGGCGTTGGCTCCTTGTGTTTGAAGCGCAGTGCCCACGTTAACTGCAGAGTCACTTATTTACACGCGGCAGAGTGCACGTTTGCACAGGCGGTGGTGTAAAGGTGAGCTCGTACATTGAAATGAGGCTTTTTTGTTTTGTGTTATGTTTCCTCAGAGACAGGATACAGTCTTCGTTACAAAATGGAAATATGCTTACAACTCCTGTAAGTTTCATATGAATATTTTCCTTTATAAATGATTAAAATTAAAGAAAAGTTTTTTAGGGAGAAGACTTGGTTTTAACCCCCCATCTTGAGCTTCTGCGTTTTAAACATAGTAATCAAATGCTCATGTGTGGTGGACATGGAAGGTAAAAGCCCTTTTCTGGTCCTCTCACTATGTAGCGTAACACTTTGGTATATACCAGACACTACCAGACGCTTTTGTGCGTCTTTATTCACACACACATACTCATTGTATTTATAACATATACTCACATACACGCAGATTCTGTTTTCTAATTATTACTGTGAAGTAGAAAGTTCCCATTGATGTGTATAGCTCCTGTTTCTCCATCTTTCGGCTCCAGTACATTTCTTACTTGAGTTTGTCTGGTTCTGTATGTGAGCAGTAATCATCTGAAAATAGTGAGTTTTCCTTAGTCCCTTCTGATCGGGGTCCATCTTACTTCCTTTCCTTCCTCATTGCATTGACTAGGAGCACCCATACAGTGGTGAATTGTATTAATTAGAGCAGACATTCTTTTTTTTTCTTTTTCTGTGGGGGTATTTTTTGAGACAGGGTCTCACTATGTAACCCAGGCTGGCCTTGAACTCATACTGTTCCTCCTGCCTCCACCTCCTGAGTGCTGGGATTACAGGTGTGTGCCACCACGCCCAGCTGTTGTTTTATTCTTGAAAAGAATGCTTTTGCTTCTCATCTTTCCATTTGATGTTTTACTATGGATTAAGGGTTTCTTGTCTCTTGACTTGCTGAGTTAGAATGGGTACGGAATGTACTTGTGCGGATACTCACTTTAATTTATTAGTGTAATGGTTTGTAGTAATAGGTTTTTTGGCACTGCATTATCTCAGGGTAAAGTCTCAGTCATGCTGTATTCCTAAATACACCTCCAAATTGTATTTTCTTTTTTTTTTTCCCTGTCTTCTTTGAGAAGTGAGTCTCCTTACGCAGGTTGGGCTGGCTTTGTGCTCACTTTGTAGCCCAGGCTGGTCTTGAACTTGCAACGATCCTCCTACCTCAGCCTCCCAAGTGCTGGGATTACAGGTGTGCGCCACCACACCCAGCTGTGTGTTTTAAAATTGGGAAAAAGTTTTTTTATCAGGTGGTATTTTGATACGAATCAAGAAGTTTATGTAGGTCTGGGGATCTAACTCAG